TCTTCCTTCTTCCCCTGGGGAACCTGGGGGCCAAAGCCTATCGGGAGGACACAGGTACCAGCCCTGACATAGGGCTGACAACAGTTCTCCCTCCTTCCTCCATCCCACACTGAAGACCTCTGCCTCAGCCTGGGACACATGTGCTCAGGGGAAGAAACAAGCTCCAAAAAGGTCAAAGTGTACCTGAGCCACCCGTCTGACCCCTGCTCCAGGTCTTACTTTCAATTCCCCCACCTACCTCCACTGGAGAGTTAAGATGAACAGAGCCTGTTGCCCGTCAGGGGTCTTAGGCAGGTCAGCACTCTCCCTAAACTGTTCCCCCTACCTAAAAGGCCAGGCCTGGGCCATTTAAATAATCAAGCTTCCCACCTTCTGCCCCACCCAGAATTTGCTTCTACCAGGATATGGAGTTCAGAAGTCATTCATGCCCACCTCCTTTCAGAACTGATGTGCCCACACTGGATGGTTTCTTAGAACTAGCCACAGACTACTAGTGCCACTGACAGCAAGATTTTTCTTCCTCCTCCTCCTCCTCCTCCTCCTCCCCCTCCTCCTCCTTTTATTGCTGGGAAGACACCTTTCTCCCTTTCAACACTTTTGGTAATTTCCTCTCCTCCTCCTCCTCTTCTTCTTCTTCTTCTTCTTCTTCTTCTTTTCTTCTTCTTCTATTATTATTATTATTATTATTATTGTTTTGGTCTTTTTGCTTTTTGAGACAGGGTCTCCCTGTAGCTCCAGCTGGCCTGGAGTTCACTATGTAGACCAGGCTGTCCTTGAACTCACAGAGATCTGCCTGCCTCCAGAGTACAGGCATTAAAGGCATGGCCACACCTGGCTGACAGCAAGATTCTTGAGTCCTGAAACTCCTTCCTGAAGATCTAAAGTCCAGGGTTCAGAACGATTCAAGAAAGTGCCCCCCCGAGGGGGGGCTGAAGAGATGGCTCAGCAGTTAAGAGCACTGACTGCTTTTGTAGAGGACCTGGGCTGGATTCTCAGCACGCACATGGCGGCTACAAACTGCCCTTAACTCCAGTTCCAGGGGAATCCGAAGCCCTCTTCTGACCTCCACGCATTCCACGACACGGGTGCGTTCACATACATGCAGGCAATACACTCACCCAGGGACCTCTTCTGATATCCGAGGCATTGCACCACAAGGGTGCATTTACTTACATGTAGGCAATACACTCATACACGTAAAATAAAAGTAATAAACAAAATTTAAAAAAAAGAAAGTGCCCCAGGTGGCTCTAATGCCACTACCAGAAGAATGGCTTGCTTCTAGGAGTCTGCACTGCCTATGAAGGAACCTTGGCTCCCCTGTACCTCCTGACTCAACCCCCCAAAGTCAGGTTGCCAGGGAAAGAGACTTTAACACCATCCCCTCAAGTGTCCTAAGACCCTGCTGTCTCCTAAAGAGCCAACCAAGGACCTCTTGTTCTCTCAGAATCTAAGGCCACATGGACAGATTATAGTGTAGGGTAGAGGTCAGCAAACCACAGCCTGAAGGCCACATATGGCCACTGCCTGCTTTTTAAATAAAGTTTTATTAAACAGCCATTAAAAAAAAGAAAGAAAAGGCTGAAGAGCAGTCATGGAGGCAGTGGTAGCTCTTGGCAAAACATGGCTCCCAGTAAGATGTCTTATCACTGGCTCCTCCTGGCCAGCAGTAAGGAAGATATGAAAGCTACAGTTATCAAAAATAAAAAAGTTTTAAAAAGTCCACCGGAATCTCGATCGTGAAAAACAACAACATTAACAACAAAACACATGATCCATCTGTCTCGAGTGAAAGTGAAAGATGATTTTTCCAATACCAATGCCCCAGGTGAGAAACTCAAGCTCGCAAGTAACTGTTGCCTTTGTTTACTGCACAGAAGCCAAAATGCTCTGTCTTAAACATAAGTATAATAGTGTGGACACAACAATGGAAACAAGAAAATAGGATCCCACATAAATGAAATAGTGATCTCCCTTCTGTAAGCCTGGAACTGTGTTTGCTGGGGTCACTTACTATGAACTTGGAGCTCTGTTCATAACCTTTGACCCTGGAACTATGATTGTCGCTCATGAGCCTGGAACTGTGGTCTCCTCACATCAGTACAGAACTGTGGTTGCCCCATACACCTGGAATGGTGGCTGTCTCCCATGAGCCGGCAGCCCCTCCCCTTAGGTCCCAGGTCTGGCAGATGCTTTGCCTCTTATAATGGAGACAGATGGGGGAGGCCTCTGCTATTTAGGTTCTGGTCTTGGGAGGACTGATTCTCTGGGACAAACCTCCCACCTCTCCTGAGGGCCAGCTGTGGTCCTCACATCACTCATGGTCCTGGGTTATCCAGACCTTGATGCTGGACCTCTCCCATTACCAGGCACCAATAAGTTTTCCAGTATTTTCCTATTGCTCTGCTATAGCCCCATATGCCTTCACCTGTGCCCTAACTGACTAGAGATAAAAAAAAATCACAGTCTTGGAATCTAAAAAAGAAAAAAGAAAAGAAAAGAAAAGAAAGAAATAGAAAGTACTATAATAACTAAACTGATATAATTTTCAAATAAAAATATGTAATTAGATCTTAGAATATAAGTTTGAAATTCTATATGTCTACTATAATTTTTTTACTATTTTTAACTGCCAAAGCTGTACTACCAAGCTTGAATAATAATGTGAAATTTGTCACTGTTCCTATAATGTGTGTTTAGCCCTCATTCCCTTTCCAAATTCCCCATCTATACAAAGTCTTTCAATGTAATCATGGTACTTCTCTTTTGTTGTCTTTTTGAGACAGGGTCTCCAGCTGACCTGGAACTCACTATGTAGACCAGGCTGGCCTGGATCTCACAGAGATATGCCTGCCTCTGCCTCCTGAGTGCTGGGGTTAAAGGCTTGCCCCCCCCCCCCGTTTCATGGTACTTCTTAAGGAAAGTAATGCTAATAAAATATTTTTCAATGTTGATCTAAATAAAATTTAAAATATTTTTTGGAATGGAATTTCTCCCTGTAGCAAACATTAGGTGATGTCATCAGAGATGAGGGTGGCCATGAGACTCTGCAGACGGACTCTGCAATATAATGCTGCACACACAGATGCTAGAAAAGAATTGGATTTTCCTCGTGTTCTTTATGTCACTTCGAATGCTTCTTTGTGCTATAGTTTCCTCATCCATAAAATGACATAAAGTGAGGCTATCAAGAGAACCTTATGTCACTGGGTTGCTATAATGAGGTCAATAAATTGCTATAAATTCTGATTTTTTCTTTTTGATGGTGCTGAGGGTGGAATGGAGGGCCTCATATGAGCTAAGCAAACACCTCACTTTAACTACACCCCTGACATGAATTAACATATGCAAACACAACAGCAGTTCAAAGTAGTGAGCATTAGATATTTTCTAGTAGTGGGGCTGACATCACATAATTGTTATTTTTGAAAGACAGCAAATAAGATATTTTATTTATCTATGAGTCATAACAGCATCTTGGCATTGCCTTGATTTTGTGTGGTCCCATCAAGCAAAAGAGTAAATTAATAGGAACTGAGAAAACTCATTTTACTAAAAGAGGACTAGAGTTGTGTTCTCAAAGGCAGCTCTTGTTAAATTTTGTAAGTGGTTTTATTTTATATTAATATAATTTGGAATACCATGGATAGAACTTGGGAGCTCCCACATGTCAGGTAGATGCTCTACCATTGAACCACACCCATTGGCCAAAAGTTGTTTGAAAGATTCAGGGGTTTAAGAGCTCAAACACCAAATGCCATATACAGGATGTATTAGTACCAAAGACTGTGTGTACATCCTCTACACTAAGCCCTTTATTGAACTCTACATTAAAATGGGTATGGCTCATTGTATATAAAATTACCTCAGTAAATCTGAATTTTTTTAAAAGCTAACTTCAAGAGGGGGACTAAATATGATCAAAATATATTGTATGAAATTCCTAAGAATTCAAATGGAAAAGCTAAATTCAAGGTGCTTTCATATGTTATAGGCATTCAGTAAATATTTTTTGATTAGATGAATAATTGAAGACACGAATGAAGCCATTTTATTCTTCAGTGATTGGTCATATTGGGGATTAGGATGTATAAAGGGTCAGTTTTACATCCTTGGGTTTGAAATTTTATGTCATCTTCCAAGAGTCCAATTTTTCCAGTAAATTCCAGGTTCTCATATATGCTCTGAAAGCCGGCTTGCTCCCACATTGCTTTTTCTTAGGGTTATACTGACAGTGATGTGTGAGTAGCTTTGTACCTTGTTTGCTGCAGCACATGGATTCTCTTGATTGTGGTTTTATAATTCTATGTATGTTGTTCACTGTCCTGTAACTGGGTTGTTAAGATACGTATTTTAAAATATTTTATTTTATTGTTTTTATTCATAGTTTATTTTAGTTTATTATTTTTGAGGGAGTCCTTTTGAGACAGGCTCTTCCCGTAGCCCCAGCTGGCCTGGAACTAACTATGTAGACCAGGCTGGCCTTGAACTCACAGAGATCCACCTGACTCTGCCTCCTGAGTGCTGGGACTAAAGGCATGTGCCACCATGCCCGGCCTTATTTTATTTTTTATGTGTATAAATGCATTGCCTACATGTATGTATTTGTAGCTGTGTTATGCAGTGCACACGGAAGTCAGAAGAGGGCATCAGATCCCCTGGAACTGGAGTTAAGAAGAGCAGTCAGTGCTCTTAAACATTGAGCCAGCTTTCCAGCCCCAAGATAGGTATTTTAAAACAGTGGCATGAAATGTTTTAAAGACTGAGATATTTGCCAGAAACAAAACCTCTTTTATTCTTTCTAGAAATAGTAATTGGCTTCTTAGATTTGGACTCTGGGCCTCTAACAGAAAAAAAAAACCTATCTACTCACCTGTTATCAGGTGTATTATAGTAGGCCACATGCCAATGTGACTTTTTTCATTGGCTGATAGCATGAGGAGCTTTTCTGCAGTCCTGTAACACATTTGACCCTAATGTCTTACTGTATTTTTCCTCAGGTATGGCAGCAGCCAAACTTCTGCACGACTCTGGCCTCAATGTGGTAGTTCTGGAAGCCCGGGATCGTGTTGGAGGAAGGACTTATACCATTAGGGTAAGCCATTACGGATGGAGAAAGGAAATGTGGGATAGAAAATGAGTTGCATTTTTAGATTTTTGTTTTCCCTGAAAGTTTTCATTATTGACTTTCTGATAGGGTGAGAATAACTAAAAATTCTTCATAGCTGCTGCTTTTCATCATCATTATTATTGTTATTGTTGCTGTTATTATTATTATTTGGTGTTGCAGATGGAACCTGGGGCCTTACACATGCTAAGCATGAGCTCTGCACCCCAGCTTCTCTCTTAATTTACCCCTCCTTCAACTCTTTCTTCTCTCCTTTTTTGGTCTTCTCACTTCATTTGTCCATAAATAATCAGATTCTTTTCTAGGGTGGTAAGTGACCCCTTTTAGGGGGGACGGGTGACTAGATAGTAAACATGCCACTATGTGGGTGCTAGGAATTGAACCCAGGTCCCCTGAAAGAGCAATCAGTGCTTTTAACCACTGAGCCATCTCTTCCAGCCCCATCATTTCTTTTCTTGATTTTCTTTAGCGTTAGGTCCCTCAAAGTTTGCCTGAAGTACTGAGCATAGAGTTTCATAGATTAGAAATTCAACCCATTAAAAGCAAACCATTGTGTGATATTTTGTGAGTGATGGATTCTGAAATCTCTTGCTTTTTCAGCAGTCAGGTTTTTTTATTATTCCAAAGAGAGGCACTTTTTAACATGTTTTTCCAGAAATAATTTGAAGTAGGTTACATCAAAATATATATACAACAAAGTTTAAGGGGGGGATAGGAATAAGAAATCAAAGACTAAAAGATATGCCAACATGGGGTCAACTTTGGTGAAATAATGAAGGTTTCTGTTAGCTCTGTTCTTTTTTTTTTTTGAAATCCTAATGAGTTTATTGGTCTTGCTAACAGAACATAGGGTGGGGTTTGTTTACAGAAGAGTGGGTACCTCCCCATTTATGGTCGCGCTAGAAAGTCCACACTCACGTATAGATCCTGTGACTTCCCAATAGCCACACAAAATGGCAAGAGAGGTGCCTCATGGTGTTCTTGGTGTGTATTTCCTTAGCCCTTCCCCCACATGCAGCTAAGGTGGACTGATTTGGTGGAAGGGGTAACTGACTCCCCCATGAACTCCTTGGTGAGTGTGGGAAGGAGGTGTGACTAGAGCTTTCTGGCATAGTGGTCAGAGTACACTTCCAGCTAACACTCTCCTCTGGCTCTGACATTCTTTCTGCCAACATCTTCTTCCACAAAAGTCCCTGAGCCTTGGAAAGGGTGATAGGTGGAAGCGGAAGGTAAAACCCTACTGCTGAAGACACTGCGTGATGTGTGAGACAGGAAGAAGCAGGACTAGCTGGAAACTCCCTGCCACTGAATGGGTGGCTTCCATAGTGCCAGAAGGTGACATGCGGATGGCTGGGGGAGAACTATCTCCTGTCATTCTGCTCAACAATGGACTCCAAGTGCTGCACTATCACCATGCCAAACAAGATGTTCCAGCTTGTGAAATAGTGGCGCCATAGATAGATAGATAGATAGATAGATAGATAGATAGATAGATAGATAGATAGATAGATAGATAGAGATAGACAGACAGACAGACAGACAAATAGATAGATAGATAGAATACTACATACAATAGTATAGTGTATGTACAACCAGCAAATTTTCGATTGGATATAATGCCCACTCCTAGAGGTGAAACACACATCTGGCACTGTAGACCAGACCAACCCCCTGTGGCAGGGGAGGATATAGGCCCCAGTGGGGAAGCCACTGTAATTGTTTTGTTAGATGGATGTGATGCACCTGCTAAAGTACCATTCAAGCATTTGTGTTTATGCCCACAGGTTAAGTTATTGTAGCAACCACTGTTTAGATGTTCTTACTTCTTGTTGTTTGTGTTTCTATAGTAGGTGGAATCCCACTGAAATGGCCCAACAGCCCATGGAAAACAGATAATGCGGATACCCAATAGTTCAGTGCCTTGCCACAATGAGAGGAAGATCATCCCACACCTATCACCCCCTCAGTTTTGCTTTAAAAATTGATTTAATAATCATTAATTTATATGACTAAAGTATGGAAGAGTTGAGAACAGAAACCACAGATGCAGCTCAAATATATCTATGACCTATGAAATGTCAATTTGCTTATTTCATAATTTTTTATTTTAGAAGTGTTTTGAAAAAAATACTTATCTTTGCTTTTTTTTCCCCGTGGGAAAACAGAACCAAAAGGTTAAATATGTGGACCTTGGAGGATCTTATGTTGGGCCAACCCAGAATCGTATCTTACGACTGGCCAAGGAACTAGGATTGGAGACCTATAAAGTGAATGAAGTTGAGCGCTTGATCCTTCATGTCAAGGTAAGCCTAGGCACAACATGGCAGGTTTTGATCAAAGATGAATTAGGTGGTGATTCTAAACCTATTTGGGAAAGCTATCGACAGACTGGCTCTTCTGTTTGGTTAACCATTTCATAAATTCAGTAGAGAAAAGTATTTGTGATTTACATAGTAAATATCTCTGTTTAAATATCTATGACTCTTTTATGTTATATAAAAATCTGTGTACAGTCTTACAAATGCTTTTCTAGGTTTTATATTATAAACATCATTTATAATATGGAATACTTTGAAATTTTACCATAGTATCTTATTTGTCAATTAAAGTTATTCTTCTTTGGAAATTGATGTAAACGTGGCTCATGTCCCAAATTCCATCTTTTTCATGGAAGCTTTATTGATCCCCCCATGATTTATATGAATGCATTGGGTATCTCTTTCCAAAGATCATTTGGGTCTAACGGTTCCTGCCTTTACACCTATTATCATTCACATCTCACGGCCTATAAATCTTTTCTTGTGTTTCTCTGTGCTAACCTGGGTTCAAACTGACCCCTTCATCTTCATTTTCATCAGCTCATCCAGTCATCTGTGTGCAGCACACATTACTGAGGTTTTGAAGAATGGAGAACTTTTGAGCTGAAGAAACTCTAGCAGCTTCAAACTAAATGTCAGACACCTTAATAACCCATAGAGCCCCTGAGGATTTCTCACTGGCTCCTATTTCTCTATAGATCCAGTCCCCCACCATGTGCTGGTCCTCATAGTTTCTTCACATCTCATGTTTCCATATTCACCCTTTTTCCCAGAATCCTCATAATGATTTAAAAAACTACTGATGTTCTATGATAAGCAAAGAGTCACCTACTCTAGGCCCCATTCTGGAGTCCTACCGACTTTAAAGTTGTTTTGGTTTATTTGACATGGGGTCTCATTATGCAGCCCAAGCTAGCCTTGGACTTTGTTTCTAACTCCAGAATATTGGCATTACAATTGTGAGCCACTACACCTGGCTCTGGCAGAGGTTTTAAATTTCTGTCTTTCCTGTCTTTTCCTCACTTGCCCCTATATGTGACAGGGAGCATTACAGAAACATTCTCACAGGTAGAAATCGTTCCTTTAGAAATTGAAAGAGGGGCTGAGGGTGTGGCTCAGCAGTGAGTACATGCTGAGCATATGTGGGATCCTGGGTTCAGTCTGGAGACCCACCTAAAACCAAACCAGAATAACCCAAATGAAAACTATGAGCAGCTTTGATTTGTGTACCAATTTGATGTCCTTAAACTTGTGTGATATCATTAAGAAGGACAAATAGCAGGCCATGCATTATGAATCATTTAGTAATATTGAATCAAAGAAGCTACTAAATTTGGCATAACATAGGCAAAAGATCTCCTAATGTATAAAAATGTTTTGACTGACCTTCAGGTGTTGTTTTATAAGCCTTTTCTTCTGTCTAAAAATGAGATGCCTGAATTAGAATTAAAAATGCAGTGATAGTCTAATTTGTTGAACAACAGCAATTCTCAGTAAACTTCTTTCATTGGGTTATTTGCTTTTTAAAATATATTGTTGGGCTGGAGAGATGACTCAGCTGTTAAGAACATTGTTCTTGCAGAAGACCCGGGTTCAAATCTCAGCACCCACATGGCAGCTAATGGGGGATCCGACAGCCTCTTCTGCCTTCCACGGGCATTGCACGACATGGGTGCACTTACCTACATGCAGGCAATACATGCATACACATAAAATAAAAATAATGAAATATTTTAAAAGTATATTGTTAAATTGACCATTTTAAAGTGCTATCCCTTATTCTTCCTGTATGATTTTCTCACAGCATCAATATGTCTCAGATTTCTCTAGACAAAGGAGCTGAACAGAGTACATATTAACTTTTCTCCCTTTGCGTGTTACAGTGGCACTTGTCAGTTCAGAGCTATGACTAGGAGACTTTGTTTAATTGTGGTAATCTTACAGCTTTATTAAGTCCCTTGTTTGAGAAAGAATGTTTACTGTTACCAATTGTGGACATGATGTTGTTCTTAAGTGATTTCTCACAGTGATTGTCGAATGTGCTGCTTCCTTAGAAGATTCCATTAACCTTTGTCCAGCTAAGAAGATATAAGTAATTAAGCAATATTTGTGTCTTAATGCAGGGTAAATGCATATGCCAACAGTGTTGTTTATAAAATTTAAAATAAATGTTATTGATTTTTAATTATTACAAAAATAAAGTATCTTTATTGTAAAAGTATACTTATAAAATATGAGTAAAGAAAAACAATTAAATAAAACAAACCCTCCATTATTGTCTTGAAAAAAATCATTCTCAGATAGTTTCTAGATTGTCATATTCCAAGACTGCTGTTGTCTGCCCTCTGCTGGAGGAAATGTAAACTATCAGTGGATTTAAAAATAGCACATGACTATGCATAGGTATGTTTGGTGTACTAACTCTCTAATTTTCACTAATGAGAGAAATAAAAACACTAATGAAGCATAAGTTTCTGTGATATTGACAAAGGTGCCACTTTGATCTTTCTGTGGTCTTATCCAGTGAAGAGCTACAGGATAATAAAATAACTAAGCTAGGGCCTCACTATGTAGCCCTGGCTGCCCTGAAACTCTCCATGTAGACCAGGCAGGATAGCCTTGAACTCAGATCTATCTAACTCTGCCTCCTGGGTACTAGGATTAAAGGCATGTACCACCATGCTCAGCCCTCATTTTTCATATCTTTAACCTACTTTGGAGACAATTTGGAGGTTTTGTACAATTTAGGCTATCAGCAAGTAAAATTTCTCTGTCTCAGAAGCTTTCATAAAAATTAAAAGTAGGGGCTGGAGAGATGGCTCAGTGGTTAAGCACACTGGTTGTTCTTGCAGAAGACCCGTCTTTGAATCCCAGCACCCACATGGCAGCTAACAACTGTCTGTAACTCCAGTCCCAGGGGATCTGACAGCCTCTTCTGACCTCCGAGGGCACTGCACAACACGGGTGCACTTACCTACAGCAGGCAATACACATAAACACATAAAATTAAAATAATACAATTTTTAAAAATTGAAAATAAATTGAAGTATGTGTGAATCTGCCTCAAGATGGAAGGCTGATCTGAGAAGAGATTGGTTAATGTAAAAATGTAGTGTGACTTAAAACTAAGAGCAAAACTTCATACCGGTAATTGTTTCTAAACATCAAATAGATAAACCGAACAGAAACACACTCTGGTCTTGGCCTGCTTGCCAATGGGAAGAAGTCAAGAGCATTATCAAAGTCACGTTTGTGTTGTATATGGTCGGCTTCAGCACTGCAGAGCCATACGACTTAGAAAACATCTCACAATTGGATTAGCTCTTCATTACTGTTAGACCTGTTGTTTCTCAAACAACCGCATGGGGGAGGGAGCCCTTGACATAGCTCCTCAGTCCTGATGACAGCTCTGAAATCCAGTTGAAAATGTGGTACATAAAAACCACATGAAGTCAGAGATGGGGAACTATATATGTCTATCTGTAACTCCATTTCGGTGAACACTCAAAACTCTCTTGGTGTTGGGGAATAGCAGGTTTCAAGTAGAAATATTGAGAAATAAAGTATTCAAACAACAGTTGGATTCAGCAAATGGAAATTGCCTTGTTATGTAGGACCTTGGCATTTCCCATATACCAGCAGGCTAGAAGTGCCCTGTTTTCTCCAGGACTTTAATGCCTCCTTCTCCATGCACACATCCCCAATGATATTAAGCCAGGGAAGCCTGGATCAAAGTCCAAAGTGCACTTGTTTTTCTCCTGATCGCATAAGTCTCCAGGAACAGGTTAGATGGACACGTATTTCAAACAGGAACAGCTGCCTTTTTGCATGAACTTCACACATGCCAAGTCGAGTTTACTGGCTCTGGGAGCGTCTGTTGTTTGAGGTGGTCTTAATAATCCTTCTCTTCTTATTCCAACCAGACTACATTTTATAGCCTATTCATGGAAAACAAGTATGGCTTATCATCATGGGAGACTTTTTTTCTAAGAAAAAAAAATGTGGAGAATAGTAATTTCCTCTGCAGCAAGTGGAACCCATTTGTCTAGTGATCTTTCTGACCAAAATGCTCATTTGCACTCAGGAGAGAATACATGCAGCTCTTCAGTATGTAATAATTTGCTCACAATTATGCCCTTGATGATGGGATTTGGAGCAATATAGGATGTGAGATAAATTTATTCTAGTCTTGCAAGGTTTCTATTTGGAACTTAATCGTAATCAGATCAGTAAACATATTCTTTTTGTACACATACATGTGGATAAGCTTAACAGTGACTAGAGTTGTGGAAAGTACAATTTTATTTTTAAATTATGGCAGAAGTCGAGCACAAAGAACGCACAAATTCACTGGTGATTGTGCAGTTCACTGCGGGAAATAAGATTGGGGGTTAAATCTTGTGCAAAAGTTTACTCCATTTGTAACAGGTGATCGTGAATCCAATGGAGAAATGGTCCAATAGGAAAGCATAGCTCTCCAAGAGATGGTGATTAATAAGGGGACCATGTAATTAGTTCAAGAACTTAGGCAGCCTGAAGTACCAAGGCAGTGACTTCCGTACAAGATGGCCTCAAGTGTCTTAGCTGGCCTTGCCAAATCCTCTGCACCAGCAGTCTGCAGAAAGGCTTAGGAGTGAACTCCCAGTCTGTGTATCACATGGCCTGAGCTTTTCTCTTGGCTTCTGCTAATGCAATGTGAAGACATAAAGGTTAAAGAGATTGATTGCAATGGATAGGAAGCAGTGAGATCAGAGCACAAACTGAGGTCTTTGCTTGCCAAGGACACATCATAAGGAGGTTACTGTTTGCTGGGGGAGTAAAAGGGCTTTCTGATATTTTCTTATGAGCCCCAGTGCCCAGCTGGCCTACTTTCCTTCTTGCCAAACTTGTCTTCCTTCCCTCATACTGGAAAAATTAAGTTCAAGATCCTCTTTTCCTTACAACTTTTTGTAATTGACTACAGCTATTCCAATGGCTCATTCCCT